ATAACTATTGCGTAGGTTTGCTGGAACTTATGAACAGAATTAAAATGACCATTTTTTTATTCTTGAATTCTGAGAAGCAAGAGCTGCTTTGTGGAGGGAGTGGGAAGGTCCACAAGTTTGTTCTGAAATTAACTGGTTGATCTACTGATTAAAGAAGCCCTTCTTCTTGTCCAGATGATGTCCTTATGTGACATCTGCATTAACACTAAAAAGCCTCATCTCTAAGAAAGATCTACAAAATCAATACCTCTTGGCTAACATTTAAAAGAGGTGTGTTCCAGAAACGAAAGTGTTCAGAGGTCAAATAAGTTCAAGAAAACATCAAAAACTATGTTTGACCCTTCTGGATGGATACTTACAATGCATATAAAGGAAACCGAGAAGACCTATAATCAAGAAATCCACCATGTGCCAAACCCCAAATTTCAGAAACTCATACAGACAAGAATCTTTTCATTCAAGTAACAGCTATTAGTATTCTGTGTAATAACTGATTCACACAATATACCACAGACAATGTAGCTGTGAGCTGTGACCCTATTTTAATAATTAAAAATAAGTGAAGCCCTGGCTGGTGTAGCTCAGTTGGTTGGAGCACTGTCCTGTACACCAAACGTTTGATTCAGATCAAGGCACATACCCAGGTTGTGGGTTTGACTACCGGTCAGGGTGCATACAGGAGGCAACTGATCCATGTTTCTTTTATTTCGATGTTTCTCTCTCCCTCTCCCCCTTCTTCTCTCTGAACTCAATAAAAAGCATTTCCTTGGGTGGGGGGTTTGAAAAATATCCGGAATCAGAAAATGAATATAGTTCTTTCCCTGATCATAACCTGGACAGTCAAATTCAATTCAATTTTTTCCTGACAACAATAAAGCCAATATTAAAATATGCAATTATAAATCTTTTAACACCTGTAGATGGTTGTTGGGGTTGAGCTGGATTCCTGTCACCACATTTCTGTGCCCTTGCAATATGTGTACACATTCTTCTGTAGCTGTGCTATAAACTTTCACAAAGTCTCCAGAGACACAGAAGATATACCTGGAAATAAGAGAGAAAAAAATAAGTTTTACATACTCTATAGATAGTAAAGTGTCCTTATTGTCCATGTTTCTTTCAAAACACTAGTTTAAAAACTGTACATTCAAATTTTGTGTGCTGTTTAAATCTATGGGGACATCTAAGACTGATTAGTTCATTATCTCTGAAAATTACATCAATGAGAACCAAGCTGTCTAGTCACTAATGGATGCAGACTCTGTGCTATGCATTCACTTACTATCAACCCTTACCCTTTAATGGTTCTGCTAACAGCAGTGTGTTCTCATGTCCCCCAACTTTCTGTCTTTCATTGGGACACCAGCTTATAAACACTAAGTCAAAAGTTCTCTCTAGTCAGTGAGGAGTTTTCCAAAGCAAAGTATAAAGACATTACGACAGTTCTCTTGTTTTTGTTAAAATGCTGGTTATGCTTTTGTCTTTCTGGATTTGCAGCTTTCTTCCACATAGCAAAGGTTACTAAATTATTAAGAGTGGTTCAAATTGGGATATTTGTCTGACTATTTTCATAACAGACATAACCATAGGACCAAGCTCAGAAATGCAAATCTTCCAGTATCCAAAAAAAAAGTTTGCTTTGTGCCTATTACATTCAACACTGTACACATCTAATACAGTGTTTTTCCATACACTGTAGAAGGTACAAATCACAGAATTCTTTGTAATCCCAAAGAACCCTGTGCATGACTTGATATTGATATTTTCACACTGTGGTGAAATTATTTCTATACACATATATTTATCTACCTCCCCTACCTGGCTATAAGATCCTACAGGGAAGAAGTATTATTTACCTTTGTTTCCCAATGTCCAATCCAGTTTGTTGAAAAGAACTTGCCTGAACCGCAGAGGTTTTATAAGTTAACTAGATAAAATAAACCAATAGACTATTACAAAATAATAAAAGAGTAAATATTCTGATGACGACTGGGGTCATTACTATTTTATCAATTCTAAGACACTTGATTTTTCACATATTCACCTCTCTGAAACCAAGCTGCATCTTATAAGTCCTGAAGCCAGGAGGCAGTCATAACACAGTTGTGGGCAACTGTCTAGTAAAATCAAGAAAGCCATGGGCACCAAAGCACCTGAGGTATATGGTCTCTCAGCTGGCTGGGTCCTCCTCTCCATTCCCCTGAGTACTTTAGTTCACTCTTACCATCTCTAGCCTGGACTACTCTTAAGGACTTCCTACAGTCTCCAAGTGGCCCTTTAATTCATCTTTTATACTTCTATCAGACTAATTTTTCAAATCTGACACCACTTCCTTAAAGATAAAATTAAATTTAAATCTCTTAAGATTTTCCCACTGCCTTCAGGATATGATCCAAATTCCTAAGGCCTTTCGTGGTTTGACCTGGGTATGACTGGAACTACTTTATCACGTTAACACTGTGTCAAGTGGCTCACAACTCTAACAACCTTCTCCTTCTGCCAAGACATAACCTATTAGAATCAGCAAATAGATCCTTTAGGCAGTGTTTCCTTGAGATGCTAGTGGGCACTGTTTGCCAAGAAAACTCCCTGTAAATGATTCTGATATGCTTCCCCAAAGAAAAGGAATTTCCTCTCTGCAATCCTCAGCGAGAATAATGGCTTTAACTATTTGAATGCAAGCCCCCAAAGGGACCTCTCCATGTGTCTGCACATTCTGCTATGGACATACAACACTCTTGACTTCTGACTACTTCTTTAAGATTCAGTTCAGGGGGTCTTTCTACTACAATCCTTTCCTTATCTTCTCATTCCAGATCAGCATTTACCACATGGCATTATGAAAGACTTACCCTAACACACTGTAGGGGAGGAACTGTGTGCTTACTTATTATAAATAACAGAAATGTGATATAGTAGAAAACACATTTTTAAAAAAGTTAAACACAAATGGGTTTGCATGCCAGCTTTTCCATGTACTGGATGAAAGATGTTGGAGAATATACTTATCCTCCCTGAACCTCACTGTTGCCTCTTGCAAAATACAGATAACTCTTTCTTGCAGTGTTATCATGATGATTAAAGAAAATTATGTATAAAAATACAAGCTTAGCCCGTATAGCAAACACTCAATAAATGCTTCTGTAAAATAAGGATAATACCTAAACCTTGCAGGAATTTGTGTAAAGCACCCACCACAATGCCTGTCACATGACTCAATCATCTTTGAAGATGAAGTGGAAAAGAAGTTGGGGATGTTCTTAAGCAGGAACCTGGATTTAAACAAGGCTCTGAAGGACATGTGATTTAAGGGCTGGGAAAGAAAACAAATAGCAAGTAAGGAAAAGCAGGGAAATAATGAATGGGTTACTAGGAGAGGTAGGGAACATACCTATCCAACAAGCAATGTGTGCACAATGTGTAAAATCAGGAAACACAAGCAGATAAGCAGAGTTGAGCTAGCTGGCCCAGAGAGCCAGATAGAAGAGCTAAATTTAGGAAGGCAACACAAGCCTGTTAAAGAGTTCTGAGCAAGACTAGGAATAAGGGTTAGGGCAATGGGATGCTGTAACACTTAAGGAAAATTACTACAGCAGCAATATCCAGAACGATCTCTAAGGTAAAAACATTTGAGTAAGAAACAACGACCTCTATCTTAAAATCAAGAAACTTACAAAGGTTACACAATGGAAAACCAAGCTTTGAATCCAGCTTAGTACCAGGACTTAATGTATGCTTTTATCCCACAGACTCTAAAACCACTTTTCACGAAAAGCTCCAAAAGGTTGCCTAAATGTCTTTTTGGGGGGGGGGGGGTAGGAGAGTATGAAGAAAGATTTATTATTAATTTACTTTTGTTACAGATGTTTTTCCTTTTTTCCCTGCAGACACCCTCCTCCCTATCCCCCCACCCCCAGCATTGTTGTCTATGTCCACTGGTTACACATACATGCATGTAAGTTCTTTGGTTTATCTCGTCCAGCCCCCCTCCTCTACAGTTTGTCAATCTGAAGCACTCCTTTCTATGTTTCTGGGTCTATTTTGTTCATCAGCCTTTTCTGTTCATTATATTAAACAAACAAGTCAGATCATGTAGTATTTGTCTTTCTCTGACTGGCTTAGTTCGCTTAACATAATACTCTCCAGGTCCCTCCATGCCATCTCAAAGGATAAGACATCTTTCTTTCTCACACCTGCATAGTGTTCCACTGTGTATATGTATCACAGCTTTTTTATCTATTCATCTATTGACGGACACTTGGGCTGTTTCCAGATCTTAGCAATGGTAAACAGTGCTGCTATGAACATAAGAGTACATATATATTTTCTGGTTGGTGTTTCAGGCTTCTTAGGGTATATTCCTAGAAGTGGGATCACCGGGTCAAAAGGCAGAGATCTTTAATAGCTCAGTAATTCCGAGTGCCCATTGGGTCTCCGACACCCATACCTGGACTACTTTTAGCCTCCCCAACGCTAAGCCGGTTCTAGACGCGTGGGTCCGCCTCCTGAGCCCTTCAATCCACCCGCACAGGAAACCCCAGGGCGGTGTCCCGGTACTAAAGGGTTTCTCGTCCCTCACCGCGCACAGGCACCAGCTCCCACCCGCGTGCTGGGGCGGGGGGGGGGGGCACCCCGCGCCGCACGCGCGCTCCTGCCTGGAGCCCAGATTGGCCGCTGGCGAGCTGGACACTTGACAGGCCTCTGCCCCGCCTCCGGGACTTGCACCCCTCAGCCCGCTGACACAGCGCAGTGGCCCCATACTTGGAATCCGCAGAGAACACCGCTCTTCGAAAGTTCAGCTCGCTGCCGCCACAACGGACCACGCGGACGCTCTCCTCCTCCACCATCTTCATGCAGACGCAGGCGCTCCCGGTGGCGGCCCCGCCCCGGACTTCCTCTCCGGGTCCGGAGGATGGGACGGGTGCCCACAGGAGCCACGCACGGGCTCCTCTAGGCCTGCATCTCTATGGTGGGACGCAGCGCCGGTGCCGCCATCTTTTGTTTGGGCAACGTCAAATTAGAACCCCCGTGAAAGCGAAACAGATGCGGAGACAGTGGATTTACCTTGGGTACCTCTGAACTCCTATTTAGCCCAGGTAAATCTCTCTGTGGCCTTGTCAATCTGACTCCAGAGCCTTTTCCGCCGGAACGGAAAGGTGGCCCAGGAAGAGTCACGTGACCCCCCGGCCTTCCTCTCCTCTTCCCGGCCGCCGCCTCTTTTCTGGAACTATGGTTCGGCGCTAAGAGATGACGCCAGCGTCTCGCGCAGTTTGTTTCTCCGGGGCGCAGTTGAGTTCTTGGGTGGGAAGGTACCTTCTGTTTTTGCACAGTTACCTGCTCCTCTCGTTAGCCATCAGTTTGTGCTGTTCCTCAGAGCATAACACACGTTTCCATTGGCAAGTACCGGTCACTCCTTGAGGTGTTGACATTGACCACATCCCTTCCGTTTTTCTGGAGGCGAAGGGTTGTCCAGAGACCTAACGTGGGAGACGGAGCAAGGCTGACGGGGTCCCTGCCCCGTTACCTGGCACGGGAGAGAGACCGTAAAAAGGTTAAACAGAAACAATCACAGATGGTGTGTTGAAGAAATAAAACAGTAAAACAGCAATTTGAGGGAGAACAGTTTTCTCTGAGGAGGGTTAGGTTTAACCTGATGAATATATGTTAAAGTTCTGCAGGTTAAAAAATGATATTGTAAAATATTTCAACCTTAATAAAGATTCAAAGTAAAATGAATCAATACAGAGATATAATTAGAATGGTCCCAGACCCTCCTAAAACCCTTGAGTATCTCTCACACCATTAAAAGTTTGGTGTGTATGCTTCCTGATACTTTTATATGTATAGAAAAACATTCTTCAGTGCAGGGCACTACAGTTTTATTCTCTATATGTAGATGAAAGCATATGTATATGTACACACACACCCCCCCCAGATCTTATTTCCTTTTTTTTTTTTTTTTTATCCTCACCCGAGGACATTTTTCCATTTTTTGTACAGATAGAGTGGGAGGAAGAGAGAGGAAGGGAGAGTGAGTGAGAAACATCGACGTGAAGGAACACATCGAGTGGCTGCCACCCGCACGACCAACCAGCGCCGGGGACAAACTGCAACCGAAGTACGTGCCCTTAGCGGAAACCGAACCCGGGTCTCCGGACCGCAGGCCGACGCTCTAACTGCTGAGCCAATCTGGCCAGGGCCTTATTTCCTTTTTGATGACTGCATAGTATTTCAGAGTAAATGTACCATAATTAAATAATTCTCTCAACGATGGCTATTCAGTCATTTCCATTTTATAATAATAGTAAAATCTTTATTAACTAGGGTTCTCCAGAAAAACAGAACCAGTAGGATTTATGTATGTATGTATGTATGTATGTATTTATTTATTTATTGGATTTGGCACACTCAGTTATGGAGGCTGAAAAGTTTCACAATTTTTAATTTACAAGTTGGACACTAGAGAAAGCAGGTGTGGTATAATTCAGCCTGAGTGTTGTCTTAAGAACCATAGGAGTGCAGAAGACTGACGTACCAGCTTAGCACTCAGGTAGAGAAGGAATGAATTCTCCCATTTCTTTTCCTTCTTTTCTGTTCAGGTCCTTAATGGACCCTGAATGATGCCCACCCAGGTTGGAGAGGACAATCTGTTTTACAGCTGTGCACAAATTCAAATGCGAATCTCATCCAGAAACACCCTTATAGACAAATCCTAGAGATAATGTTTTTGCAAATATCTTGGCACCCTGTGACCCAGTTAAGTAGATACATGAGATTAACCATCATACCAGGCAACCACTGATCTGTTCTCTATTTCTACAGTTTTGCCTTATCCAGAAAGTAATATACAATGGCATCATATAGTATGTAACCTTTTGAGTCTAGCTTCTTTCACATAGCATAATGCATTTGAGATTCACCTTGTGTAGATCAGTGGTTCCTCCTCCTTCCCCCTCCCCCCTCCCTCCTCCTCCTCCACTTCCTTCTTCTTTGTTTATTGTGGAGTAGAATTCTATTGTATGGATAACCCACAGTTTGCTTATTCATTTTTTGGTTGAAAGATTTTTTTCCTTCCAGTTTTGGAAATTATGAATGTTACTGTTCTAGATATTAATTTGTAGGTTTTGTGTACGTAAGTTTTATTTCCTTGGGATAAGTTACTAACAAGTGGGATTGCTGAGTCAAATCATATGTTTAAATTACAAAAAAACTGCCAGACTCTTTTCTCACAGTTCTCTACCATTTTGCATTCCAATCAATAATGTAAGAGTTTTAATTGCTTCACATTCTTGTCAGCATTTGGTGTTGTCAGTATTTTAGATTTAGCCCTTATGACAGTGGGATTTCATTGGTTTGCTTTTAATTTCACTACTGACTACTGATGTTAGGCATCTTTTCATGTGTTTATCTCCCCTACCTCCCACCTACCCCAAACCATCCAGCAGAAAAATAGACAAAGAATATTAGCAGAAGAGCAAACCAAATAGTCTACAAACATGTTTTCAGTAGACATAGTGAAGAACAAGATACAGGAAGTTTGAAAATAAGGGCTGAAAAAAATATAACAGAAAATACTATAAATTAAATGTAGGTTTTGCAGTATTTAAGTCAGTATAATTTAGGAAAAATGTCCTTCAAAGGGCCAAAGAAATACCTTTACATTTTAAAGGATACATTACATTAAGAAGATATAAATCATGAACATTTTATGATTCACAAACATAGCTTCAAAATACATAAAAAAGACTTATAGAAATGAAACGTGAAATTGGTGATCACAAATCAGCTTATCAGGTGGCCAGAAAAGATGTAGAATGTATCAATAACACAGGCAGGGTGATCTAATTTGCACACACATCCAACCAGCAACATGCTTTGCCTCCAAACACATATCATAATATTCACAAAACAGACCACTATTTTGATCATAAAGATTATTTATTTATTTTTTAAATGGGATGTATTGGGGTGACATTGGTTAATAACACCATACAGGTTTCAAATGTACAACTGATTAAAAACACTGTTTAAATCAATTCCCAAAAGTATATCATATAGGTCATATTTATTGACCACAGTTTAACAGAAGTAGAAATTTAAAGCAAAATATTGTCAAGAGAACAATGAAGAAAACAAAACCAAATTATCCATTTGGAAATTAAAACTTTTCCCTAAATGACTGAAGTCAAAGTATAAAAAAATAGAGCATAGCACTGATAGAAATAAATAAGAGCACTAACTTATCAAATCTGCAAATAAAGCAATATTCAGAGGAAAATTTGTCTTTAAATGGCACTTATTACCACAAAAGACTGAAAGTTAATTAAGTTTTTATATTTAAAGGTCAGAATGAGAATAACAAGATAAACCCAGTTTAGAGTTCTTTCCATTGAATCCCACTAATGCTTCTTTTTTTAAAATGAGGTTTATTATCTTAAATTTTTTTTTTTATTAATTAATTATTTAGAGAGAGTGAAGGGAGAGAGAGATAGAAACATCCATGAGAGAGAACACGAATGGCCGCCTCCTGCATGCCTCCCACTGGGGATTGGGCCCACAACCTTGGCCATGTGCCCTGCCTGGGAATGGAACTTGTGATCTCTTGGCGCATGGATCGACGCTCAACCACTGAGCCACATCGGCCTGGCTCCACTAATGTTTAATAATGGAAGAGAATACTACTTGTTTTTGCTGATCCCTAATATTTAATCATAATATTTGGATAGATCCTCATATTGCTTTTCTATCACACAGAGAAATCTTTGCCTATGAATTTTACTTGTATATAAAATATACAAATTAAAGGAAAGACTTTACTATCTAGTGTCGCTGTGTCTTGTTGCTAAGGATTGGCCCTAAGGGGCAGAAGGCTCTGGAATAGAACATTTATTTGACATCATTAGGTCCCAGGAATCAGTTTGAGAGCTTGAGTTAAATAAAAGAAAACCATTGCTACTTTGTATAGTAATATAAAGAGCTGTTTTTTAGTGAGCAGAAACATCTGTTATGTTAAATTAAGAGAATGTTTTCATTTACAAGATGAATTGTTATTGTATTTCTTTGAGAATTACTGTTTTCCTTGAGAGGACTGTGTAAGTTTCCCCCATGATTTCCCACATGGCTGAGACTGAGGAGCTATTATTTGAACTTCACTCTGGAGAGCCTTAATTCTTCACGCTGCACTGTAAATTCATTTTTAAGAACAAATAAATATAGCATCAAATAATATATGACCCGCAATAAGCTTTCTATTTTTCTTAAACATTTTACCTCAACCATTTAAAGCAAATAGACTCAGTGCTCGATTTACTTTTACCTGGACATCCAACATTGCAGTTGTCCAGTCCTTCATTCCTTCACCCAATGCTACCCCTCCCAACACACACTACATTGCACTCTGGTGTGAAAGGGGCCTGTGAGCCTTTCTTCTTTGTTAGAATTCTTCTCCTTCCATACAAATTTATACCCGTCCTCTCAGAACAGAAGATCTCAGTAAAATATTAGGAAGAAGGTGTCCAATCTCCTTGGGCTCAGTCATCATCCTTTTAAATATGTATTTATTTATTCCCCATCCCCTGCCCTGCTCCAGGAGATTTGGCAGTTATTTCCTGGTTAACATTAATTTTAGGACTCTGTCACCTCACATTACTTATTCAGGTTCTCAACCTTCCTAGAGCTGCGACCCTTTAATACAGTTTCTCATGTTGTATGTGGGTGTATCCGCATGTGGGTGAACCCGTCTGGAGACAGATAGAAGAGCTGTGTCTCTGTTCCTAAAACCATCGGAATTATGTGTTTTCCGATGGTCTTAGGCGACCCCTGTGAAAAGGTCATTTGACCCCCAAAGGGGTCGCGACCCACAGGTTGAGAACTGCTGGATTAGAGGCTCTGAGCTGCTAGTTTATTCTCAGACTGGGAAATTATTTATACAAACTCAGGTGGCAGAAGGATTCTATTTACAATGGGAAAGAAATGCTTGATTTGTTGAATCAATGATTTCCCAGGAACTATAGGCTAAAATTCAGGCTTCTTGACCTGTCAATAAAGGACTGCCGCAAATTGTCATGATTTATATTTCTAATCTATCTTTTTCTCG